CCGGCCGGGGCGTGGGGAGGGGACGGGGGCGGTGGGAGATGCCGGGGGGGGTGAGGAGAGGCCCCTGCGCCCCGATGGGGTACGGCTGGTGCTGGGGTGGCTGGATGGAAGGGCTGGAGCAGGGAGAGCTATGGGGGGTGGGTGGTACCCAAGGGAACGGAGCACCCAGGGCCGGGGGCACCTGGACAGCCAGGGCTCTGCTGAGCAGCCCGGGGGCTGCAGCCCCAAGCCCTGTGGAAAGGGGGGAACTTGCCCCCAGCCCCCCCGGGCCCCAGGGGGAGAAAAGGGGCAAAACCCAAGCAGGGGCAGCGGGGGAGGCCGGATCCCACAGACGCAGGGCCAGCCCTGGCCGGGAGCTCTGGAGAGCAGGTGGTGCCCACCTGAGCACCCTTTCCCTTCCCCGTTCCCTTCCCTTCCCCGTTCCCTTCCCTTCCCTTCCGCCACGGTGGCCGCCTGGCAGCGCTCCCCCACTGTCCCCCCATGTGCACAAGGTGACCAGGCCCTGCTGCACCCAGGCCACAGCGGGAGCCTCGCTGCCTTCTCACAGGCAACGGCCACCGCGGCCGTCAGCCCTCGCCAAGCACAGAAAAGGAGGCTGGGAGGGGACCAGAACACACGGCAAATCCTACCCGAGGGGCCACGCCAGAGGCCTCCTCCAGAGGGGACCACGCCAAGAGCCAGGGTCCCACCTGGGCAGAGGGGCTTCCCCGGGGAGAGCGCTAGGAAAGCACAGTCTGTGGGGGCTGGCTCCATTGCTCGTGCCCATCCTTCTGTGTCATCGGAGCTGTGTGTGCGTGGGGTGGGTCTGCACAGAGGCCAGGACAAGCCCTGGGAGCGGGAGGGCACTAAATCCCGGCAGAGGCTGCTGCGGAGGAGTCACAGGGCTGGTGGAGTCCCTGTCCCCAACAGCGGGTTTGCACATCCACCCGGGGTCCTTTGGCGTAACTGGCCGCACCCCAGAGCAGGGAGAAAAACGCGATTCCTGCCCTTCTGCCTCACCCCACCGGCAGCATCATGGGTGTCCCCGAGCCGGGGTTCCCATCTGTGGCCTGGAGTCACTGTAGGTGCCGCGGGTGTGGGCACAGAATGAATGTGGGAGCCGCTGCTTGTTGCCTACAGTCAGCATGGGAAAGTAGGTGCGCAACTCCCTGCCTGCTCTGCCGTGCTCAGCGAGGGGAGAGGAATGAACAGACAGGGTGTGATCGTATTTCCACACCGGCAGAATGAGACATGAGGAAATGCAAGAGCTGCTTGCTATCTGGAAGACAGACACTGAAAAAATAACGTGGGAAACTCCAAAGGTTGGAGTTTGCTGTGGAGATAGAGCTAAAGCAATTGGTGATAGCTTGGCAGTTTGGCTCTGCTCAGACACAAAAGATATTCTTTTGTCTAGAGTAAAACAAGCCCTGATTTGTTGTCCGTCTGTCCTCCCTTCACCACCTGGAACAACGCTCTGGTCATGCCTCTGACTGCAGCTCGGAGAGATTCACGAGGACAGCCGTGGTCCCATAGCCGCTGCGGCATGGCTCTGGACCAGGGAATGCCCATCTCTGGTCCGTGCCTCTGCGTATCATCACTGGCCTGAGCCCCGACGCGTACGCGCCGGGATGTCACTGGAGAGCCCTTTCAGGAAAAGAGGGAGCCGAGCTGCTCACAGCGCTGAGCTCGCTGGAACGGGTCCCTCGTCCCCAAGCAGGGGCAGAAGGAGACAAGACTGGTTGTGATCAAAAGCAATTCAGTATCTTTATTGCTAAAATGTGCCAGCAGAAAAGCAGCGCTCAGCCAGCCTTCGGTTGGGTGAGCTGACAGCACGATGGGCGGTCACAGCGCTTGGGTGGCTGCGAGGATGAGTAACTGTAGCAGGACCTGGGGGAAGAGCTTGAAGGATCTGTTGAAAGACCGTCTAGTGCCAGACAGGTCTGTGATCCCTGAAGCAAAGCAGAGATAACCGCATCGCCCTGCACTGCCCGGCCCCTTGGCTGAGCGGCTCCCACCGCTGAGCAACGGAGCGTGTGAACCGGCTGCGTTCGCAGCACTCATTCACTGGGAATCACTCCCGTAAAGGGATCTCCTTGGCACAGCTGTGCCGAAACGGGCAGAGCGGGTCTGGGGCCGGGGAGCAGGTCTGCGCTCCGGCAAGGCGCTCGCTGGTGGAGGTGGCTTGTGAAGCACCAAATGACGCAGGGCCAGGACCTCGCCTGATGCTCTGCAAACAGCTTGGGGCGTGGGCCAACACGGAGGAGCATCACCCTCTCCCACATTCACCGAGAGGAGAAAAGGGCTTGTCGAGGGCCCAGGGTGGCCCTGACACAGGACTGCCTTGGGCTGCGATGGAGGCTGCCTGCAGGCTCCCACAGGCAGAGCGAGGCCTGCCTTCACCATTGGTGGGACCCAGTCTGGAGCCCAGAGAAGGCCAATACAGACTCACTCCCCTTGTCTTCCCTCCACTCAGTCCTTCACCCTCCTGGCTCTGTTGCTGCCTCCTCCCCTTCTACAGCCAAAGGGGACGAGGCCGTGCTGCCCGTCTCCCCTCCATCCTGCAGGCAGCAGCGCGGGCAGCAGGGGATCGAAGGGGGTGAGCATCACGCATCACCCTGCGGCTCGGGCCAGCCTTGGCTTGGCCCGCTGGCTGATGGCCAAATGCCCTGAGCCTGCCCAGAGGGAGTTTCCATTGCACGCACACCATAACGTTTCCTTTCATGGTAACAGATCTAGGGTTGCTTTTTACCAGATAATGTGGGGGGACTGTCAGGACATGTCCTAGGAGACGATAAAGAAACAGCAGCTGAGATCGAAACAAAGACAGCATATTTCACTCCACACCTTGATATATTTGTTACCCATCTTGGTGGTGTTCAAACAAACTTACAGAGCAAACCTGTCAGCAAGGGTAAAGCTGTGCTTGCCTTTCCTTACGTGCAGGAGACGTCTTTCCCAGGGTTGCATCCTTCAGCTAGTTTCTACTGAGCTGTGAATTGCTGTGAAAGGCACTCAGGAGAAGCTGGCCCACAGGGGAAACCCAATGACTCCTAATTAGCTCTTATTCATTGCATTAAAAGCACAATTAAGTGCTATTGTTTGAGGCAAATGCAATGCACTGACCCTGGCCTTTTCACACCAGCCCTCACCACACTGGGTTACTGCGTGCGCTGCTTGTCCACTCCCAGCGTATAATTTCACCTCCCTTCCCATGCGAACCTGAGGAGTTCAGCTCTTCATTTCCCCCTGCAGCACACCTGAGGCAGAGATAGCATCTATGGCATGCGTCTCGCTGGAACAGACTCTGATACCATCTCCTGAGCATTACGATGTGTTTTTTTTTTTTTATCTCAAGGGAATTTATTGTGGGTGAGTGTTTCAGGAGAGCCTGGGAGATTGAATTCTTCTGGTAACATAAACCAGCTGAAATGGTGCATGTTCCCCTGTATAATCATGCCCTGTCGACAGAGCCAGCGCAAGGGGAGCTTTGTGCTACGGGTTTCTCTTACAAGAGTGGGGCCAGTTTGGGGATTCCTGTTTAGGAGCTCTGCCAGAGGTCAGGGCAGCAGCTGACCGGCAAGAACATTGATCAGAAAAGACCAGAAAAAGCTGATATTGCAGGATAATCTCCAGATCTCATCTCGGGCTCCTGTGCCAGCGGTAATAAAAGAGCTTAAACACGGACTGAGGTCGTGATAATGCAGGAAGAAAAGCCCGAAATCCAGGTATTTCCTGCCTGTGGGGCTGTGGCAGGGCTTTGCCTCGTTTGAGGGCAGTTGTCACCTTCAGGCTGACTCGTAACTTGGCCGAAAATGTGGGGGGAACCTGAGCAGGGGGACAGAACTCACAGCACAGTGTTTGGCCCGCTTGAGGGGCTCACGGCCAACATGGGAATTGCCAGGAGCAGGACGGTGTTTGCTAGAGCAAACATGAGCAAAGTGAGCACATCTGGAAGAACTCAGAGCAAGAGTGGCCAAGGAATGGCACTTGAGCACAGCTCCCACACGATGGCTGTTGGGTAATCCCGTACCCCCCACTACGGAGGGAAGCAGGCCAGCAGGAGCACTGAGCTTCACCCTGCCAGCTTGCCCCAGGACTTTGCTGCAAGCTGAGCATGATCATCTGCATGCTCTGCCATTTGCCAGCGGTGTGGTGCTCCCAGGTCCCCTCCTTTCCCCCAGCCCTCCGAGGGACGGGGCATGTGTGCATGCCAAATCCCCAGATTTTGCAGCTTGGGGGGTCAAAAATCCAAATCTGAAGCCAGTCAGCTCTGAGGCAATGCTGCCCAGAGCCTAGAGCCCTCAACTAAGAGGGTCTGCAGTCTGTTTCTGGTTAAGTTGCTTCCTCGGCGGCCGCTTAGAAAAATCCCACCACCTCTCCTGGATCAGCTAAAGAAAGAGAACGTGACTCCCTATTAAGTCCTTGAGATCTAACAGCGATGCAGATAAAGCGTTGTTGTTATTGTGTCCTTCAGGGAACAGATGAAAGAAAGGAGGCACCATGAATTACCAAGGGTGAGGCTCTGGGAACATCTTAGCAACTCCAAAATCAGTTAAGTGCATTAGAATGTGAAAACAGCCAGAGGGGCCCCGAGAAGGAAGGAGATCACCACAGCAGAGAAAGCATAAAAGGGTTCCTAATCCCTATAACTCTCTTTCACTACCTCACAGGCACCTCCACTAACAGAAAAAATAACTTCTCTTATCCAAGAATGACATCGCTGGAGCCAGGCAGGCCAGCAGGTTGGGCGTGCGATTTTTCCACTGTATACTGCAAGAGCTGGCGCCACATCAGTAAAGGGATTTTTTTTCCCCGACAAAGAATAAAACAGTGCAGTGTCTCCCTTCTTGGTTCTCTGCTGCTTTTTTCACGCTAATACCTGTCCAGCTGCATTACTATAATCGCTGTGCTCAATCCCTTAATAGCAGGATGCAGGCGTGGCTATCGGGTAGCTCCATTGCCTCATCCCTGTACATCTCTTCTGCGTTGTCCTGTTTAAACCCTCTGCTTCGCAGGTGGTCGCGGTGTTCTTGCTCCTCGCTGCTGTGCGTGCTGCACTTTGCCCATCAGTGCTTTTGATACGGATGCTGCTGGTCCTGCTGAGTTATGTTAGCATCGTGTCTTGCAGCTGCAAATGTGTAGGAAAAAGCCTATCTGCACGCAGGCATAAGCACTGATAAGAGTTGATCGTACTCTTCCCATCAGGAATTGCACATAGTGGGTGTCTAGTGTAGCTTCAAATTCTTTGTCTCTGATTTAGACTGCTTAAGCATTAAAACCTGCCTTGGGCATGAGATAGAAGAAATGATGGCACGGAAGTTTTAAGCTTCTACAAATCTTTCAGAAGTTGCAGGCTGCTTCCGTGGAGTTTGTGAAAGGTGACGCAGCAAAGCAGGTGCCACTGGGAAGCATCAGGCATCTGCCTTTCAAACCGACTGAAAAACTCCCGCTCTAGGGACTTGCCAGTCTCTAGACCGTACGTAAGAAGAAATTACTGGAGTTTCTTCTCTTTTGAGCTGCAAGATTTCTGCCAAATACGGTATCAGTGCAAAAATCCTGCCAGGTCTGTGCTTGTCCGGGGATAGAGGTCCTGACGGGAAGATTTCCATCTGGCTTTGGGTTAGCCCATATAAAGATTATGGATGCACAGAGCTCCTAAGTCAGCAGCTTTCGTTGGCTTTAGACTTTTTAAAAAGGCAAATAAATAGATTTGTAGATTTTTCATTATATAAGACACTTGCGGGCGACTTGGCATATCAGGGAAGATTCACGTGTGTTACCTCATGAAGGAGCAGCGGGGTGGAGCTGGAGCGAGCACCTCTGCGTCTCAGGTGCAACAGTGAAATGCTAAAACGTAGCCGTGAGCAAGGAGCCTTCGGTCTGAATCACGCCAAGTGCTGGGAACTAAAGCGGAAGGAGAAGATCCTGTGTGTGCCGCAGTGCTTCTGGTGGGATGTGACAAAAGACATGAAATTGGGGAGAGAAAAATGATGATTCTGGAATTTGGCTCTGGCTGTCAGGGGTGACGACAAGTGCCGGCAACGCCTCCAGCCCCGGCTATAAAGGGCTCCAGGCCAGGGGGAAGCGAGCACTCGCTGTCTGCGCTGCCGAGCCGGGTGTCTCTCTCCACTCATCCAG